AAAATGACCACTGGAATTCAGAGAAGCATAGATCCATCCAGCTCTTATCTCAAATAACAACTTAAAAGAGACTGTTTGACCAACACAAGGAATATTAAAAGATCCATGTTAAAAAGCTAAAAAAACAAAACAAATGAAAACTATAGACAAAAGTTCATTTTCTTCAGCAAGACATTCATTTCTGTAGTTTACTGCTACCAGCATGCAGAAATATTTCTTCTCCTGATGATGGCCATTTTGGTCGAAACTAGTCGAGGAATGTAAATGAAATAATAATAAAAAAAATAAACGAAAGAATATTAATCTACAATCCAGTGTGTCTGAAATTTTTCTTTATTGTTCAATATATATATATATATATATATATATATATATATATATATATAAATGGTGGTACTCGTTTGGAAAAATCTCGGATAGCTCTATTTGCAATAGAAAAATCGGTACCTGAGGAAAAATAGGAATAAAAAGAAAGAACCAAGAACCTTAAACCAAGGCGAAAACAATCGTCCAGTGTTTAAGCTCCAAGTACTAAGAAAAAAAAAACGAGTAAAAAGACAACTACGTAAAGTGCTGAATACACTAAGTAGAACAAAACAACAAAAAAGATAATCCTAAGGAGCCAGGCAAACCTACCTAGAAACATTTAACGGATCTTCAAGGTAATGCTGAAGCCAGAATTACCCTGAAGATCCGTTGAGGGAAACCTAGGTAGGTTTCCTGGATCCTTATATATATATATATATATATATATATATATATATATATATATATATATATATATATATATATATATATATAAATTCTGTTTATACGTTATTTTTATGGATATAATTTATTTAAGTCAATGTAAGTGTCTGGTTAGCTAAGTCAGCATTACTGTTTATAAGCACAAACACCAACGATTTTTTTCTTGATCGATTATTTACGCTATGTTTCATAAGCAGAAATGTTCGATCGCGAATTATTTCTTATAAACACATATACATGTGTTTATAAGAAATAATTCGGACTTTGCTAGCGAGACACTTCTCTGCGGCTGAATGGTAACAGCACGACAGGCCATATGTTAGTTCCTATTACGCCTACAGCTTCGATTCCTGTCGGAGAGCGCATATTTTCTACGAAATTTCTCGAACTTTCAGGATAGTAACTGTAATTAATACTGCTTCATTAAAACCAGAGCATATATTTAAATATATTATCTATAAAATAACGTATAAACAGAAAATATATAAAATAATTCTTGGACTTAAACCATTTCATTATATAAGACACTTTTATGTTTATACGTTCTTTTTATAGATACAAATATTTAAGTGAATGCTCTGTTTATAATAAACAGTATTAACAACATGAATGTCCGAGAAATTTTCATAGAAAATATGCGTCCACCGACAGGAATCGAACCTGTATCCTATACGGAATCGCCATATAGCCTGACGTGCCTTAACCGATTGGGCCACAGAGAAACGTTCGGTTAGCAAAGTCGATTTTACTGTTTTTAAACACATTTCTCCATGATTTTCTCTCATTCATTCATATCTGCTCAATGCGTATCCAAATGTAAACAAATGACGTCATATATTATGAAATGGACAAAGTCCGACAATTATTTAAGACATTTTTATGTTTATACGCTCTTTTTATAGATACAAATATAGGATACAGGTTCGATTCCTGTCGGAGGACTCATATTATCTATGAATATTTCTCGGACATTGAGGGCTGTAAATGTTGTTAATACTGTTTATTATAAACAGAGCATTTACTTAAATATTTGTATCTATAAGAAGAACGTATATATATATATATATATATATATATATATATATATATATATATATATATTTGTGCTAAGGTGGGGTTAAGAATTAAGAATCGAACGCGCTAAATTACACAGGAAGGATGATTTAGCTCTTTGACCTGTCAAGCAGTACAAACATGATCATGGCGATTAGGAAACAGACTATAATCTTTGAAATTAGTCGAACGCATTCGTCAAACTCAAAATGTAAGAAAATAAATGAACAGAATACCACGATAGATATCCGTGCAATAAAACAATAGTCTGAGAATATATATGTATATCCAAGGGAAAGCGTAAAATATAAAAGAAAAAAACAAAAACGAATAACAATATAAAGAAGTAAATTAGAGTGCATTTGACCTTGGCTACAACATTTATTTCATTCTGAGACGACTACTATTATTAATATTATCAGCTATCGTGATATGCCGTTTGATACAATATGTTACAAAATCTTTAACTTGAGAATTGAGGCAAATTGTGGTTTTTCTTGGAAAGTTATTGGGTACATGAGAGTGAGAGAGTTTTTTGTTATCAATCTCTATGGATTAGTTAATGCCGAAATCTAAATATTTGGATTTTGGTTGGTTGATTTTGTTTAGCGGCATATCAACCTCTATGGGTTATTTATTTAAATATTTTCATTTTGAAATTTTGTTTAGCTAAATATTTTTTAATGCATTTTTTTCATTTAGTTGATTTTGTTTAGTGGCATATCAACCTCTATGGGTTATTTAATGCCAAAATCTAAATATTTTCATTTTGATTGGTTGATTTTGTTTAGCGGCATATCAACCTCTCAAATATTTGGATGGGTTATTTAATGCAACCTCTATGGGTTATTTAATGCCGAAATCTAAATATTTGGATTTTGGTTGGTTTTCGTGGCATTTTGGGTTTTTAATTCCGTAATCTAAATATTTGAATTTTGGTTGGTTGATATCAATCAACCTCTATGGGTTATTTAATGCCGTAATCTAAATATTATATTATTAGAACCACTCTGAAGTCATTATAAAGGAAATGTTTTTTCCTCCTTTTTTTGCGTTCTTCTTGTATCTCAATTCAAGTTATCAGACGATTAAGTTACGTGCCAGAAGGAAATGTTTTTTCGCAACTTAAGGTAAGTACTTTTACACCTTTCCTCAGACTGCACCATCTCTGGACATTTTGGGGTTGAGATTTTCTCGACAGAATGGATAGCGACTTGGAATTAATAATGTGATAACTGAATTCCAGTCGAGATCATTGCATTGGATTGTATGGAAATACCCTTGGGAAAGTTATGAATCCATCTTTCCCCTAGATATGGGTTAACTAATAGGAATTATCTGGAAAAAACCATTGCTATTTTCCGAAAACGTTCTCTGTTTAAATTAAAAATTATTGTTACAATTCAATATATGTTCGTAATCCACAATTGGTTGATTATCCGTAAAATATGAATCAATCAATTCCATCATTTATATTATAATTATATTTACTTTCATTTCAATATTTTGCTGAATATTGTGAGATTTATCGCACACCCAAGAATTTAATTTCGTCTTTGCTGATAGCTCCCTTACGAAGATGGCGTTGATGCCTAATTAGACCAATTCTTGCATGAAAGAGTTGTCGGCATCGACCCATGGTAATTTTGTCAAGCCTTTCTCTTTTGTTTGATTTTGTCTTTTTCTCTTCTGGTGGCTTTGAAATTTTGGTTCCGATGTTGATCGAATACCACCAGTTGCGGTTGGTGCGGTTTTGCGCTTCAAACGATTTAGGTTCAAGTCCAGAGGCTTTCAGCGTGGTTTGGAGTTGTATCTTCGAAGAGGGCACCCTCGTGCTCTTTTCAAGTGAACTCGCTAAATAAGAACTGACATGAAAACTTTGGCGCTTCCATTTTAGCCACATCTCCTGACTATCGAAGGTGATGTTTCATGTTCGGCTATTCGATGCTTTGACATTCAATTTCTTTCCAGAACTTTGTTGATGGTCAAATAGTAATTGCATTGAACGTTCAAGATTAAACGGCGATTTTGCTGGGGAAAACGTTCTAATTTATTTCGATATCACGACGATATAGAGTCCAGGATTCGTAAGGAGGTGCTGAGGGCCTGGTGAAGCCCTGGATGAACAAGATCGCCGCCGGGCGCCCCTACATCTTCTAACAGGACTCCGCTCCTGCGCAAAAGTCCAAGACGACCCAGGCGTGGCTGCTTAACAGTGTTCTTCACCACGGGTCGACGGACTTGTGGCCGCCGTCCTCACCTGACTGCAACCCCATTAACTATTTCTTCTGGGGCGTGATCGAGGTTAAGACCAACAAGCACCCCCAGAAGAGGGTCGACTCTCTGCCATCATGGAGGCGTTCGCCGCTATGGACAAGAATATGGTCGCCAAAGCGTGTGACTCATTTCCCGCCCGCCTTGAGATGGTCGTCGCCGCCAGCGGCGGTTACATTGAAAAATAATGTAGTATGTAACTCTAACTGTTACTAAATAAACTGTCGGGTATCTGCATATACAACGTTTTTATTGCCTATTTCGTTTCCTTTCTGTTAAGTGTCGGATTTTGCTGCAACAAATATAAGTAACAAATATATTCAGTTTTTCTGGACATATTCCGATGTTAAGTGATACGTAACAGCGATTATATTTTCTTTCCATTGATAATACAATCATAAATAAATAAGCAATTCCACACGGTATAAGGCTTTGAATTTCCTGTAGCCAGGCGTTACTAAATATCTTGTTAATGTATTTGCCTGTCTTTCTCGTGATTGCACCCAAATATTCATTTATTATTTATAATTTCCTTTTTTTATGTGCGGGTGGGGTAATTGATAGAGGCTTAGAATTAGAAATCATAGAACCGAGTTCGCAACCCAGTCGAGTTTTGTTACATTCACTTTTGCGCAAATACCCTTGGAAAAGGCACAAACTCATCTTCTAACATTAGCTATGGGTTAAATAATAGGATTGACTGCGCTCTTCAGTCTTGGCTGGTGACCAGTCAAGAAGAAGGAGAAATCTGAATTGAAAACGAAATGGAGCAAAAGCGAAAGCTGATATAATGTCGAAAATGTAATATAATGTAAGGATCGTCGAGGTTAAAATGATAACACGACTGAGGCCGACCTTGGTTGATTGATTTTAAGCTGCTGCTTTTTTTTTTTTTCCAAATAACCTTTAATATATATTTCTATTCACAGTCCTGTAACAGCTATGGAATGCAGTTTGGGTTTGTAGGCTTTAAAGAGTGCGAATAGAGTGAAAAAAACAGTACAAAAGAAAGAAAGAAAGAAAGAAAGAAAGAAAGAAAGAAAGAAAGAAAGAAAGAAAGATTGCAAGAGAAAAGTGCGTGCACGAAAAATATTGAGTATGGTGAAAAAATGAAAGAAATAACGAATGAAGCAAAGAAAGAAAGAAAAAACGAAAGAAAGAAGAAAGAAAGAAAAAGAAAGAAAGAAAAATGAAAGAAGCTGACTCGACAAAAATGAGAAAGTTGATAAGAAAGAAAGGACGAAAGAAAAAGGACGAAAGAACGTAAGAAAAGAAAAAACAAACAAACAAAGCGGATTTAAAATCGGGAAATTTGGTAAGAAAGGAAGAACGAAAGAAATTTTAAAAGTGAAAACATCGTACATGAAATATATTGAGAATGGTGAAAAGAAAGAAAGAAAGAAGCGGACTTGAAAGAATGGAAAGTTGCAAAGAAAGAAGGAAATAAAGAATAAAAGCCTGCATAAAATATATCGAGGATGGTGAAAAGAAAGAAAAAAAAGAAGATATGAAAAGAAGAAAAAGAAATACACAATAAAAATGTTGACTTCGAAAAGGTAACGGACTAATATCGATAAAGTACAAAGGTAGAATCAAATCAGAAATCATTGGTAAGATGATCAGAGTCAGGAAAGAATGAAGAGGAAAAAAATGCAAAACAATTATAAAAAAAAAGCACGTTGGAAAATACAGGAGTTCCTGTAAAATTAGAAAAAAATAAAATAAAAAGTCCGGTGGCTTCTGTCTGCTATTGATCAACTAGTGATTGATTGATTCTCACTGTTTTTCAAAGTCTCCTGGCTCCTCTGATTTGGTCAAAGTTTCTTGGGTTACTTTCTTTTCTCTTCAGTTCGATTGTTCATTTCATGAAGCTTCTTTTATTTATTGGGAATTTTTTTTTTTTTGAATTAGATTTACACGAACTTCCCTTGTTCTCTCACACTCTCTCTCTTGTCCTCTCTCTCTCTCGTCTTCTCCTTCATTCTCTCTCTCTCTCTCTCTTGTTCTTTCTCTATCTGTTTATTTCACTCTCTTTCTCTTGTTTGATCTTGTTCTCACTTGTTTTCTGTCTCTTGTTCTCGTTCTCACTCTCTTTCGCTCATGTTCCCCCTCGTTCTCTCTCTTTCTCTTGTTATCTCTTGTTTTCTCTGTCTCTTGTTCTGTCTTTCTCACTTATTCTCACTCTTGTTCTCTCACTCACTCACTCTCTCTCACTTCTTCCCTCACTCTCTCTCCCTCTCTCTAATGTTCTTTCTTGTTCTTTCACTCACTCTCTTCTTCTTCTTCTCTCTCTCTCTCTTGTTATTGCTCTCTCTCTTGCTCTTGTTCCCTCTTGTACTCGATGATCTCTCTTGTTATTTCTTGTTCTCGCTGTCTCTCGTTCTGTCACACTTTCTCTCTTGATCTCTCAATCTCTCTTGTTCTGTATCTCTCACTTCTCTCTCTCTCTCTCTCGCTCTTGTCCTCTCTGTCTTTCTTGTTCTCTCACTCACTCTCTTATTTTCTCTCTCACTCTCTCTCTTGTTTTCTCTTCTTCTATCTTGTTCTCTCTCTTCACTCTCGCTTATTCTCACTCTCTCTTGTTCTCCCTTGTCCCTTCATTCACTTGTTCTCCTCTTGTTCTCTCACGCTCTTGCAAGTGGCTTGTTTCAATTACGCATTAGATGAGAAAAGACTCTTGTTCTCTCACTCACTCACTCACTTTTTTCTCTTTCTCTGTCCTCCCCTCTCTCTCCTCTTCTCTCTCACGTTCAATATAAAAATTTGATACCAAAAGTATCCAGCAACTTATTTGGTATAATGTTAAAGACATCTTACTAGTGATTTTGGTGCTTAAACCAACGCTTCATTTGCTTTCGGGCTGAGAGCCGAGTTTGATCCCCAGTCGTATTCATTACTGTCACTTATTTAATATGCCCTTGAAAAAGTTATGAATTCGTCTCTTCTCCCCACAAATATGGGTCAAATATTAGGACTTATATCGGAAACATATCATTGTTATCACAAAAAACATTCTGGGGATAAATTCTAAAAGAATATTTTTCACCTTTGGGTTGATAAGCTGTAAAATATAAAACCAGTAAATCAATTCATTCTTTAGTACGTAATTTACCAATCACAGAAAATATTTAAAAAGCAGTAAAATCAGTACTGAGTGATTTAAATGACACTATCATCTCCAGATGTTTAGGTAGCTGCTTTCCGTTTTGTGGAAGGGAGAAAATCATTTTAGAACAACAGGCGCTTGTGATGAAAAATAGATTTATTATAAGCTTCGAAAACGAAAAAAAAAAACATCAGAGTTTCAGTATAGGTTTCAAACTAAGCGAAATCTTGTAGAAGAATTATTCTCTGCAATCAAGGAAAATGTATTATTGCGAACTGCTGTTACTATACAGACTACAGAAGAGCAAATGGCTTGTTTAAATTACGCATTAGAAGAGTAATTCTAACATATCCTACGTATTCCAAATATAAGGAGAAAATTACATTCAATTTTTACCCCCAGTTACAGTCACTTGAAACCCACTATCATGAAAATGTAAATCTTGACGTCATGGTCGTGGGGCCAATCTTCATCTTCCAAACTTATTTACATAATCTTCACTTGCTATCAACTTCTCTTCCTTTGATAGCGCACGCCTCATTAAGTATTAATATATTGACTGTAAAGCTTAAATAACTCCCGGGATTTGCATAGGGAAAAAGTGTGCAAGTGTTCGGTGTTTAATTCTGGGTTTAACCAGGATTTCCAATAGGTAGGCAAGACCATCATATATAGAATATTAATGTAACACATATTTTGTGATCATAATTCTTCATATTTGCATTTGAAATCTACAAAAAGGTTTGTTTTGAAAGAAAAGCGATCTACAGGCAGCGTGATGCTTAGCAAGCCTATCGCAGAAATCAATGCGTTGAGTGTTGAGTTCAATCCTTCCTCGGGTCTCATTTGAGTACAGTTAGAAAATACGGGGAATATTTCCTTGTCCAGCATGCCTACAAAAATAGTTGATCACTCATACAATTAAAATCTTCTTCAGTAATAGAAATGTGAGTATAGCTTTTGACAAAGCGTGGACTGCAAGGGACAAGCTCTCCATAGACTGAAGATATGCTTTACCGGGTAACAATTAAACGAGATTTCTTCCACGCCGTTTTGCTCTGTGATAGCCACATATGGGCATTGACAAACGGTTAGAAAAGAAGGTTACGCGTTGCATTGAATCTTTCCTGGTAATAGCATCCAACAAAAAATAAATAATAAGAAGTACGGCCTTATGGTTATCGATCTTCCATTTTACAAGTCATACGAGTGACAAGAACAAGATTTACCAGATTTTGAGACGAATTCATAACTTTTCCAAGGTTATATTAAGAAAGTGACTGTAACGAAGACAACTGGGGATCGAACTCGGCTCTCCACACGAAAGCAAATGAAGCGTTGGTTTAAGCACCAAAATCACTTTTACGATGACCTTAACATTATACTAAATATGCTACTGGATACATTTGGCATCAAATTTTTATATTGAATGGGAGAGAGAAAGAGAGAAGAGGAGAGAGAGGGGAGGACAGAGAAAGAGAATAAAAGAGTGAGTGAGTGAGTGAGTGAGTGAGTGAGTGAGTGAGTGAGAGGACAAGAGAGAGAGCGTGAGAGAGAACAAGAGAGTGAATGAAGGAAAAAGGGAGAACAAGAGAGAGTGAGAAGAGATAACAAGAAAGATCGAGAAAAAGAGAGAACAAGAACAAGAGAGAAAGAAGAAGAGAGTGAGTGAAAGAACAAGAAAGAAGAGAGAGAGTGATGGAACAAGTGAGAGAGAGTGAGTGAGAGAACAAGAGGGGGAAGAGAACAAGAGAGAGAATAAGAGAGAGAGACAGAACAAGAGACAGGGGGAACAAGAGATAAATAGAGAGAGTGAGAACAAGAGGGAACAAGAGCGAGAGAGAGTGAGAACGAGAACAAGAGAGAGAGAGAACAAGTGAGAATAAGAGAGTGAGTGAAGGAACAAGAGAGAACAAGAGAGAGAGTGAGAATAAGCGACAGTGAAGAGAGTGGTGCTGGATACCCCAACATGGACACACTAGCACTGGACACCCACTTAAAACATCATCATCGTCATCATCGGATTGACCAGCGTCAGATATTCATAACCAGTCTATATAGATTACACATCTCCATTGCGGTCTACAGTTACTCCTTTGATAAGATGCTGTCTGTGCACTAAAGTCGTACAAATTTATTTTATTCGTTTTCTACGGCTTATCAACCCTTTATAGGTTATTTAAAGCCAGAAAATATTTTTACATTTTCTTTTTTTTTTTTTTAGATAATAATAATTTAGTGGTACAAGTTTTACTAATTAATTCATAGATGGTGGGAACAGAAGTAGATTCATACCTTTCCCAAGGCGTAAATAAATATAACGAACACAACGGGAATTAGAAATCGGCTGTCCGATTAACAATTCCGAGCCATAATCCATTATATCACCCGCACCTTCAAGCTTACAGTACCTGGTATTTCCAAGCGGTCATCCATCTTGTTACTGGCCAGGCTCGACGCCCTCTAAAAGTTCATATCGCAATATTAGATTCGACATTTGCCCGTGTCTTGATTTCGAGACAGAAAAGAGAATGCGGTCCAAATCTATCTTTTACAGTTTCATTAAAGTTTCATTTAGAAACATAAACACGACGCAATTTGGGCGTCTCGGCGTGGTGTAATAGTTAACAAACTTGTCTCGCTAGATTAGTTACAACTAAAAAGTGAGTTCGATCCTCACTAGGTGCCCCATACTTTCGGCCTTGTGCCACATCTAAGCTACGCTTAGAAAATAACTATACACGACGCACTCTACACACATGCACACACAACAACCCCCCCACCCGCGCACACACACACGCATATATATGAACATATACATAAGCAAAAAGTAAGGGTTGATGCGCTTTGCAAGATTAATGTGGTTCTACAGAAGGATACTGAGGATAGCGTGGACCGATAATGTGAACAACAACGACGAAGAAAATGGTAACAAAAAGGAAACTTATATATAACACCAGGATGAAACAGTTGAAAATATTCCAAAAATATTCCCAACTTCTTCTTCTTCATCATCTTCTCCTTTCTGTCTTATCCCTTTAAGACATCAGTGATCATGGGTCTCCACATTTTCATGTCCTTTGTAGCTCTTAGCAATGTTTTTGTTTTCGCTTTCTCTCCCAATCGCTTTTACCATTTATACAGTATGTATCTAAAGACTGGACACAAAGCCAAAAATGCATATTTTTAAGAAATGAAATTTTCAATAACATTATATTAATAATTTAATAATTAAAAATAATTAATATATTAATAATTAAAAATTTTAATAACATTATATTAATTATTAATTTAACTCCTGGCAGGACATTTTCTTTGGTAAGATACTCGATCACCAAGTCAGTAGATATGAAATTCACTGTTTCAAAAAAAACAAAAATTCTATTTACTATAACGAAATCTCTTACTTTACGCGCCTGTCTACAGATATACACATATGTGCATACCGGCGTAGAGAGAATAAGAAACAGAAAATACAGTACAAAACTAGTCTTTACAATTTTTTTTTCCACCGTTGCTCTTCTCTGGTCTGTGTGTGGTCGGTGGCGTTTAGAGACTTAAATTAGAGCCAAAATGACCAGGAGTCGAGGCGCCCAATTCTGGCGTTTTCAAAATCTTAGGCTGGCGGCCAACGGATCCATACCGCCGTAATTCGAGGACGGAATAATCGAAATATAGCTTGGTACATTTTGGGGATAAAAGAGTATGCATAGTAATGCACATATAAGAAAGGTGAGAGAAATCAAAATCCGTCTAAAGGATATAGACCACACAAACACACACACACACAGACACACACACACATATATATATATATATATATATATATATATATATATATATGTGTGTGTGTGTGTGTGTGTGTTCGTGTGTGTTCTTTATTATAGGATATTATATTCGAACATATGTACCCGCCACATCAATACATCCATACTTTGATGCCTTATCATATATATATATATATATATATATATATATATATATATATATATATATATATATATATATATAATTATTTATTTAAAAATATGATTCCAAATAGCGACATAAGAAGTCCCATGTTTCAAAACAAGAGCCGAAAACTTCAATATTTATGCTCTACTTTTGTATCGAGCACTATATTTTAAAAAATAATAACTAAAATACTAAGGGACTTTTGGATTATTTACCTAACCAGTTCCTTCCTATTTTCTGTATATTTTTCATATATATATATATATATATATATATATATATATATATATATATATATATATATATATATATATATATATATATATATATATATATATATATATATATATATATATATATATATATATATATATATATATAATTAAACCTAGAGAGCCAGACAAACCTACCAAAGTTTCACCTAAGCGGATCGTCAGGGAAGCCAGCCTTTATTTAGTTATTTTGCTAAATCGTATCGGTTTTTTTTTCTCTGGGCTTTGGACTTGCATGCGAGATGATTATTTTACGGCTGACGTACATGTTCTTGGTCCTTTCTATTTTAATACCTTTTTTTTTACCTTTGGTATTGGTTTGATTATTTGCAAATCAAGACACCGAAGGTCTTCCGAACGAGTATAGTTTCTTATACTTATAAGATTACTACTACTACTACTACTACTAATATATATATATATATATATATATATATATATATATATATATATATATATATATATATATGACTTTAATTAAAACGACTGACAAGGTACTGCTGTTAAGGTATTTTATTTAATGTTTGCGTTCTTATAATTTTCTTCTTTTCTGTACATAGGGTATCTAAAATTATCCGAATGTTCTGTACGTTCTGTATATATTAACATGCACGACCACGCTCAAAGCCAATGTACATGTTTGAATATATTATTATTATTATTATTATTATTATTATTATTATTATTATTATTTCTCAGTAGATGCAGCTATAGGGATTGGAAAGACTGTGATGCGCCTATCAAGAAAACCAGCGTTTGTTATCTTTGTACAAAGGAACTCGATACTAGACAGTCGTAAAATCAAAGTAATCGTTTCAGTCACGAAGTGGGCCAAAAATATGCAACATTTAACAGAATTCCTCCCTTCACAGGCGCTATGATAATTTTCTCTATATCGCTCTAATTTGGGTGAAAATTCCTGGCGATTACCTTTCTTTGGTGTATATATGCCAGTGCATACGCGTGTACGCATAAGAAGATATGGAACCCCCCGGGGCTTCCTGACCCCAGTGTCATCGGGGCGACTTTGGATATCTAGATCAATTTTTCTTGGAGACTCAGAGATATTATAGGTTTATCAAAGATTTCTTTTGGCATACAGCTTATTTCGTCAGCGGCTGGCCGGAACCAAGGTGATAAGAGGCGTAGACGACGGCAACGCGGAAATGGAGAAGAAACAGATGCAAAACGAAACGAAAATAGAGCGAGAAAAGAAGAATAGAAAATCCTGAGGCAACAAGAAAAATCAAGCGAAAACAAAATGGAGTCGAAAAGAAGAGGGAAAAAATAAAGGAGAATTATGAATGAAAAACATCTAAAAAATAAAGGAAAAAACATAGAGGGCGCAAGGAAACTAAGAAGAGCAACATTATACATAAAAATAAAGAGAAACGGTATTATTTATTATTATCATTATTATTATTATCATCATTTTTTTTGATTTCTTTTTTACACATTTTTTTCCGGGTCCCGCCAAATCGACCTAAGGTTATGCGTCATCAACAGTTTCCACTGACAAAAAAAAAAAAATTAAATTACATAGATAAAGCCCTTCGTAATTTCATGGGCTGTAATTGTCAGAGAATAATTTTTGTATCTCCTTGAAATGGACTTCCAGGAATCCTTTTATCAATTAATCTACTGCAATCTTTTCCAACCAGTCCTGGGCTTTTACTACAACAGGGAATGTTGATAATCATATGCCAATTTTTTTATTTTCTATTTAAGATTTTTCTTTTTGTTTTTTGACAGCTTTTGTCATATCTTCAAAGATACATTGCAGTCAGCAGGGACTGCCATTCTATCAATAAAATGCATCGTTTTTTGTGGTTTTATTTTAAAATATCTTGCCGGTTGGCCTATTATGAAATGTTCTGTCAGTGTCATTTTGATATAAAATGTAACATCAAATCGTCCATCTGCCTTCTGGGTGGAAAATACCAGTTTTTTCAGTTTCCTTCCGTAGTCTGCAGATTTTCCAAATCAGATGGTTGGCCCACTCTGTCATGTCGAATTTTATATTCAGTGGACAGTGAGCAAACACCGTACAACCTGATACAAGATGATCAATCGTTTCTGGATATTTATCACAAATCTGCATTTTTGGCAGAGCACAAATCATTTTAGTATATGACTGCGGACAATTCCTAGTTAAATCATTGGTCCTGACTGCGGACAGATTATTATTATTATTCTAACTAATTTTGTTATTATTGGTGGTGGTGATATCAAATCGTATGGTATGGTATCAACGTGTATGGGATATTTAATAGCGAAATCTAAATATAAAAATTCAAACTTCATACTTAATTGAAGAGAATAACATTATTTCATAATAAAATTATAAATACTTAAGTGCATTGTTTTATCAAATAATCATACAAAATGACTGCGGACAGAGCACAAAGCTGGTTTCTGACTGCGGAAATGAGATAATCATAGCAAATTGTTTTATTTTGTGTTTTCTTTTTTTCTGTTTTGTTTTTTGACATTGTATGCCAGGTCTTCAATTTTATTATAAAATGCATTGATTCTCATTCTCATATTAAAATGTATTGTTGGCCATTTTATTTTAAAATTTGTTGTTGGTAATTCTATTATGAAATATATCGTTGGTCATTTTGATATAAAATGTATGATCAAAGCGTTGTATCTGCCTTCGGATAGAAAAACCACATTTTGTTTCTCAATTGCGTCTCTGTCTGCGGACAGAACACAAATCAGTTGGTCCTCTGACTACAGACAGAGCACAAATCAGTTAGGTCTCTGATTACGGACAGAGAGCAAATTATTTGGGTCTCTGACTGCGGACAGAGCACAAATCAGTTGGGTCTCTGACTGCGGACAGAGCACAAATCAGTTGGGTTTCTGACTGCGGACAGAGCACAAATCAGTTGGGTCTCTGATTACGGACAGAGAGAAAAATATTTGGGTCTCTGACTGCGGACAGAGCAGAAATCAGTTGGGTCTCTAACTGCGGACAGAGCACAAATCAGTTGGGTCTCTGACTGCGGACAGAGCGCAAATCAGTTGGGTTTCTGACTGTGGACAGAGCACAAGTAAGTTGGGTCTCTCACTGGTGACACAATGCAGGTCAGTTTGTCTTTGCGGCCAGGATGCAAACTGAAAATATTTTCTCTTGGGACAGCTGTCAGCGACAGTTCCTCCCTCATGTCAGTAAAAATTGGTGGTCGGTAGTAATACTGTTGCCAGAGGAACCAACGGTTGCTGGAGTAGGGTTATTTTCCGACCTGATCCGCGTGCACGCGGCAGAGCTACACACGTTCAACCGCTCTTGTAGCACATCCTGCCAGTGTGGAGCAGTAAGTAAATACTAAATGCATTATTTGCTTTCAGGCGTACAAACTACATTTCATCTCTCAATCGCGTTCTTGTTTTCAGATAGAACGCAACAAATAAATGAGCAATTCCTGGTTCCTGGGTATTCCAACCCTGATGTAGCAACTCCCCCATTCCACTAAAGAGGAAGTTTCGGTTGAATATCGACACCAGTGCGACGTTGTTTTTGCGGGGACCGGGAAATTTTTTATGGACTTGGTCCATGTGCATATGCACGCATATGGCTCCCCACATTAAACCACTCTTCTACCATATCCCACCACCATCAGATCGGCGGGTTAATAACGTTAGTAATGTTGTCTTTCTTCAAAATAGCCGAGAATTAGGAAGGCCGTATTTAGAGAGAGTATTGAAGGAACAGAATACTAGACAGAGAAAAGGGGTTTATTAAATACTCATACATAGAAAGGAAAAACTTGAGTAAATCATCTACTCAAATCCTACTCTAATGTGGCTACTTGCCATATTTATAAGTAGGAACAGTCCATTGTGAAAGGTTATGATCAAGAGACATGAAACACAAATGATGATTGATGTTTTAATTAACAAAATTCAGAAAATGTTACAATACATCCAATCTTGATTATGTCATTATTTTCTCTTTCTGTTAAGGTTGCCTTTGTTCAAAATAGCCGAGAATTAGGAAGGCCGTATTTAGAGAGAGTATTGAAAGAACAGAAGACTAGACAGTGGAAAGGGGTTTATTAAATTCTCATACATAGAAAGGGAAAACTTGAGTAAATCATCTACTCAAATCCTACTCCAATGTGGCTACTTGTCATATTTATGAGTAGGAGCAGTCCATTGTTACATCGTAAGGAAGAACAGGAAGTACACAATATCATTAACAAGGATAATATCTGTTCCCCTCACCTCTAATGGTAATAATAATATTAGACGTTTCTTTATAAATAACATTCGGCGTTCATTGGCCGAGCCACCAAAGTTACCGTCATTTGGTATTTATAAAAAAAAAAAAAACACTGCTAAAAGAATTTTTTAAGAAAATAGTTATCTCGAGTCCAGTAAGTATTATTACCCTATCAAGTATTGATGGGAGCTACCTTACTAGCTTTTTGTTCGAAGTAGTGTGGAAAGTAAACATCTCGAATACGTCGATATATTCTCTTCGGGTTACATGTGTTACGGTTTTAGTTGTTGCTATGTCATGTATCGTCGAGCTGAATGATACACGAAGAAGAATTTCTTAATATATTTATTCAGCACCAGTGTCCGGTGCTAACGGATAATACAAAAAAAACACAGAACAATATGTTACAAAAAAAAAAAATGAAGATAACTTACAAGGAACATAGGAAGGTAAAATGCTCTATAGACAAACGAAGTAAGATCTGTCCGAATATTAATCAGATTAGTATTAACTTATTAATCAAGTCTTGGCGTCCCTTAATCGTAGACGATTTAAGGCTATGAGCCAGGCCATCTGGTAGAGTGCTGAAACGGTGCTAGCTACTCTACAACACTATGATTTAAAGTCCTCCAGTGATGTGGTTCCTGTTATTTGGTACAGCTCTTTTTAGGGGTTCTGTACCGACAGTACACAAGGTTCACCTCTTAATTTCTGTTGTTTCCTGTTCGAACCTGCTAGCACCTGTTAGGATCAGAGTTATGGGCAAATAATGAACCCCTCAAAAAAAAAAAAAAAACACTACGAAAGTATAAAAATGCCAATTATTAAATTACTAAAAAATGCATATATATAGCAAAATGACCAGCAATACTTATTTATAGTAAAGTGGCTAACAATATATTTTACCTGTAGTTGAAGGTATATAATTCCATTCAAAATATTTAGATTTTAGCATTAAATGAGCCATAGAGGTTGATATGCCACTAAACAAAATCAAACCAAAAAATCCAAATATTTAGATTTTGGCATTAAATAACCCATATATGCCGCTAAAAAAATCAAAACCAAAATCGAAATATTTAGATTTTGGCATTAAATAACCCATAGAGGTTGATATGCCACTAAACAAAATCAACCAACCAAAAATCTATTTAATTTTGGCATTAAGTAACCATAGAGGTTGATATGCCGCTAAACAAAATCAACCAAAAAATCGAAATATTTATATTTCGGCATTAAATAACCCATAGAGATTGATATGCCGCTAAACAAAATCAACCAACCAAAATCCAAATATTTAGATTTTGGCATTAAATAACCCATAGAGGTTGATATGCCGCTAAACAAAATCAACCAACCAAAATCGAAATATTTAGATTTTGGCATTAAATAACCCATAGAGGTTGATATGCCGCTAAACAAAATCAACCAACCAAAATCCAAATATTTAGATTTTGGCATTAAATAACCATCCAAAACAAAATCAACCAACCAAAATCGAAATATTTAGATTTTGGCATTAAATAACCCATAGAGGTTGATATGCCGCTAAACAAAATCAACCAACCAAAATCCAAATATTTAGATTTTGGCATTAAATAACCCATAGGGGTTGATATGCCACTAAACAAAATCAACCAACCAAAATCAAAATATTTAGATTTTGGCATTAAGTAACCCATAGATGTTGATATGCCGCTAAACAAAATCAACCAACCAAAATCCAAATATTTAGATTTCGGTATTAAATAACCCATAGAGATTGATATGCCGCTAAACAAAATCAACCAAACAAAATCCAAATATTTAGATTTCGGCATTAAATAACCCATAGAGGTTGATATGCCGCTAAATAAAATCAACCAACCAAAATCAAATATTTATATTTCGGCATTAAATAACCCATAGAGTTGATATGCCGCTAAACAAAATCAACCAACCAAAATCAAATATTTAGATTTCGGCATTTAAATAACCCATAGAGGTTGATATGCCGCTAAACAAAATCAACCAACCAAAAATCCAAATATTTAGATTTTGGCATTAAATAACCATAGAGGTTGATATGCCGCTAAACAAAATCAACCAACCAAAATTTAAATTATTT